TCTCATCTTCAATTTTGACTCCCATTTTACTTACCATTTTCACATTTTGGTCATTTACATGCATGATTTCATATCTGTAAGGAGATATTATTTTCTTGTTATCAAACCCATCCATCTACACAGGCCACCATGTATTTCCTTTTTTGTTCTCTTGCATTTCTTAATCACTTATTTAAATTTTCAAAGTCAGATGACATGTCCATTACCATTTTCCACATTTGGAGGCTGGCAACTGACTGTTATTTACATACCTGTTATTTAGTACTCACTACCCCACCGTTCATTAATTTGTTATTTGTATCTTATCTATCCTGAAGTTTACATTTGAGCACCTCTTATGATCTACTTCCTTTATCATTTCCTCTTTCATCCATCCAACAAATATTTACTGTGTTTTCTATTTCAAACAATAATATACCACTTGGACACAAGTTTTAAGTTAAAAGGAACATTGCCACCTCCCACGGACTTATTTAGTAACACGTGACAATATTGAAAACAATTTTAAATCCTGTCATGTTCCTCAGGGACTATTAGAAAAGAGGACCCATCAGATGCCAGGTGCCTAATTCATTAGGATAAGATTGTTGGCATATCAAGTTATATTAAGACTAAGCACCTCCCTTTGTATTAAGCTTGGGCAAGGCAATCCAGTATGAGTAATAGGTTCCCAAGAGCCAGCCAAAGTACCAGGGACCGGGCCTGTTCCCATTGTTAGGAGTCCCACAAGTAGACCAAGCTATACAACTGTCACATATATAGGTCAGTCCTGTGCATGCTCCCTGGTTGTTGGTTTACTCTGTGGGTTCTTGTGAGCCTAGTTAGTTGTTTCTGTGGGCTTTCTTGTGATATCCTTGACCCCTCTGTCTCCCAATCCTTCCTCCCTCTCTTCAGAAGGATTCTCTGAGCTCTGCCTAATGTTTGGATATGGGTCTCTGCATCTGTTTCCATCAGTTATTAGATGAAGGCTCTCTGATGACAATTGGGGTAGGCACCAATCTGATTACAGGAGATGGTCAGTTCAGGCTATGTATCCACTATTGCTAGGAGTCTTAGCTGGAGTCACTCTTGTAGATTTGTGGGAGTTTCCCTTGCATCATGTTTCTACCTGACCCCAAAATGTCACCTCACATCAAGACTTGTCTCTCATTACTCTCCCCTTCCATCTACTTCCAACCTTATCCCTCAAGTTTCCCATACCTACCTTAATCCAGTACACCCAAGATGTCATGCTTTGTTGGGAGACCTGACCCTTTCTGAACAGAAACAAAGGAAAAGTGGATTGAGGGGTTTGGGGTAGAGGGAAGCTAGAGGGGAAGGGAATGGGATGGGGAGAGGGAGGGGGAAATTGCAGTCAGGATGTAAAATAAATAATTGAAAAAAGAATGAACTTGAAAATTTAGTGTAGGAATGAACTAAAACTTCTCTGGTTTATAATTCATTAGATGCTTTGAAGGATCCAGGAAATAGCAATATTTTCTAAGTGCTAATATTAGATAAATTTAAAATTTTATTTTCAATAATGCCTTTATGTTCATTAAAAAAAAAAAAGAATACTATTGTTGCACAGACTACTTAGGTCCACGTTCCTTCATGTAGGTATTACCCATTTCCCCCCAACTCTTTGTATCCAATTCTTTTTTTAAAGATGATATTTGTTATTCCATCCTTAGGAACTCTTTAGCCTTCAGTTTACCAACTGGGACTCTATCTGAGTCAGAGCAGGTAACTTTCCAAGGGCATGAAGTCACTCTGGGGGAGAACTTTTCATTGCTCCCTTACTTGTTCTGGTCTGTTGATTTGTCCCCTTCACATTTTCTGCTAGCTTTCTGTTCTTATGCTCTCAAAGGTTCACCTTATAACTTAAAAAGTTCAATTTAATTTGTACTTTTAAAAAATGTTCTTTTTTTATATTTTAAATAGTAATAATATCTAGCGTGTTTCCCTGGGGGCACTTGGTCTTTTTTATTTCTTTTTCAACACTCCAAGTTAAATTATAACCCAAATGTAATTGTATCTTCTGCTTAGTAACTGAGTACATAACTTTATTTGCAAATGGGTATTTACAGAGCAATTAAGTTACCCATGCATCATCGTGGTAGGCTTCTTCCATTCTGAGTCATATGCTTATAAGAAGATGAAAGTCAGAAACAAAAATAAGTGAGAATGCCCTGGGTCCATAAGTTCATCATCTTTAATTAATGGGCAGATGACTGGGACAGGCAGTTCTTCATTGCCCTCAGAGGGAACCATTCCTTTGAACACTGTAGTGTGATTTGTGGCACAAAGAGTGAATGTACAATGAATATCCAGATTTTAAGTTTTGGTGTGTGCACACATGCACACCACCCACCCACCCACACTATATTACGGGAGCCCTAGTAAGGTAATAATGATTTTAGTACTGAGAGAATAGAACTTTTTAAGAAAAAAAATTAAATGGAAGTAGTTTAGATGGTGTGAGGAGTAGAGGATATGAGACTCTATGTGAGTGAAGGGGAAAGCATGGAATGCCTACTTAGTTTTAGATGTAGTTAAGGGCCAGACAAACAGGAAGATGGCTACAGTGAAGCTCATGTTGTTTGAGACTGAGAATCTATGTGAGCAAGGAAATCTGGGTAGAAACAGTAGATACTGCTGAAGCCATAGAACAGCAGCAGACTTGGTTGACTGTGTTCTCATGCAAGAAAGCAGAAACTGCCAGCAGTGAACTTGGTATTTCCCCAAGGAAAAGCACAAATGGGGTTCTCTTGATATGTAAAGTTGAAGAAGACAGCAGAACACTGGAGAACATCTTGTGTAAAAGGCGCAGCAGGCATGCGTTATTGTCTGTTTTTCATTGTACAGTATTTCTTTTTTTTGGAATGTGAAAAGTTAGCTTGTTTTATGGGTACATGTCAGGGGACGGGGACAGGAGCAGGATGGCTAGTCACAGGTTATCTGAATGGGAGAGAATAATGGTTGTCATGCATGTGGCACTGGAGTCTGCACAGCAGCTGATTTGTGGGTAAATATAGACGCGATCCAAACTTGTCAGTTTATTGAATTATTGTCCAATAATTAAAATAGAGCAGACAAGTTTGAGGTTATATGAAATTTGAATGGTACAGTGTCATTCACTGACCCTGAGGTGTTTAAGGAGAAGCAAGTTTGGATAATGAAATAATGTTTTCAACACATTATTTAAATGTCTAAATTACCAAGGTATGAATACTAAGCATGTATTTAGATAAAGAGATTTGGGTTTCACATGTGACATACAGTTCTAAGACACACACATGTGATACTGAGTACAGGAAGCACTTTAAAGCATAATGACTGAGAAGGAGAGTAGACCCCAGAAGAACTGAGTATAGCTGGGAAGTCATCTTTTAACTACCCCTACTATAGTCCTATATTTAGAGGTTATAAATGCAGTGAAAATCAACAGAGACAATTTATGAAGAAAAAAAAACGGGCACAGATTCAAGAGGGAGTGAGGATATACAAACCAAATGAATAGGATATTTGTGAAAGTTGTACTGAGTGGTGATCATGGATTCAAGAAGGCGGATGTCATTGGTGATCACATTAGAGTATTTTTAAAAAAAATGGTTAAAATTTTACAATTGTACCTCTATTCTAATTTAGGCTAGAGAAAGCAAACTTCACTTGAATTCATTTGTAATTTCAAAATACAATTAGTAAGTGTCTACTGAGATACACCAGTGAGTACAAGCACAATGTCAGTGAATAAAAGAAGAGAAGAGGGATGATTTCTGACCTCATACAATTCCACTTTAGGTGATTTGTCACATGATAACCAATAGTATAACAGACAAAATTGATGAACTCATTATAAATGACAAATCCTAAGAATAAGAAATGAATAACACCCAGCAGGGATGAGGAGAGGGTAAATGCTGAGGTAGAAAACAAAACAAAACAAAACAAAACAAACAAACAAGCACAACATATTATTGTGTATTAAAAGCAAAGTTCTTTTCAAGGATCATTTCTGGGCTAATTTTCAAGTAGAATTCATGTGATGTCTTTGATCTAAGGTTAGACATCATTATATGACCTACATATAGAACTCCTGATTTTTTTTAATTTTATAGATAAAATACCTATGAAGAATAAAAAATAACAGTCTGAATTTTGATAGTTAACTGAGGTCTGAAACATATTTACAAGTAAGTGGGAAACTGCTGCTCTCTGCCATATGGGAGCAGAGAGTTCTGGAATAGCATTCCCACACAAATTTTTAAAATTCTTAACAAGATACACAAAACAATTATTTTCAGACTGAACAACATGAGCACAGTGGGAATGTGGTGTATAAGAATAAGGGAAACAGCAGGATCAGCCCCCAAACAAATCTACTTTACTCAGGTGTATGTATATAAATACATACATATGTATACATATACATACACATATGCGTGTGTTCCTGCTGAAGAAAAAGATGATCCAAGTACATCATGGCAGTTTTACTAAATTGAGAAAACAAAAGACAAAGGCCTCACTCAGAGGAAGCACGTGAAAGGAAGGAACTCGTAGAGCTGAGCTCAAAGAGAAAAAAGATAGATAAAAAACTCCCATAATCTGCCCTGGGGTCCTTAAGCTAGTTGGCTGCTTCACATACTCCCATACAAATGATACATGAAGCTAAGGAAAGAAAAATAATTAGGGGAAGAAAGTATCCTGTGCACAAAATAAGAAGCAAATCTTGTGTGTATTAGGAAAAATAGAATTAAAAGCATATAATGGAAGGATCTTGTTAAATGCCTCAGGTAGTTATTAGGGACTCCAGAGAGGCCACTCCAGAAATATGAACAAAAACCAATTCCAGAATAAGTCCTCAAAAATTAGGTCAACAATGTTTAAAAAGGAGTTTGCATGGTATAATAACCACCAAATCAAAACGCACTGTTTTTTAAAGGATAATAAAATTGTATGTCCTCAACAACAAACACAATACCCTGTGGGGAAAAAAAAAAGTACTAGGTACACAAAGCCATGTTTATTAACTTGGAAAAATAATTAACCGATGTGAAAAATAAATAAATAAAGCAGTGACAGGGATGTTGCAATTAGTGAAGTTTGAAATCAGTTTGCACACGTGCTGGCAGGATCTGAGCGAAAACATATGCACCCTGGAGCCGGAGACATTGACAGTGAAATGTGACCGCAGAGGGAACAGGACATTTGTGACCACCCTCTCAGGCCTCCACACCTCTGCATGTCAGTGGATCCAAGCAGCACAGCTCCTGGGAGAAGTGGGAAAAGCACAAAGTGAGCGCGGAGTTACTCCATGTGAGGAAGCAGTCCATCATGACTGCACTAGGATGAAAGGACAGAATGCAACCCAATGGGTGGGGGGGGGGTGTCAGCAAATATCAACGCTATCTTCTGAAAATATAGAGGAAATAAAATTTTCAGAGAGACCTATGAGGAGAGAGTGTGGGGAAGGAGGAAGAAGGAAATTTAAACAAACGCAAGTGTATAGACTGGGCATGGGGGGTGATTCGTTATAGAAAGGTGTTTATGGTGCAACACTGAAGATGTGAGTTCGATCCCCACACTGCACTTAAAAGCCTCCCGTGGTGGTGTGGTGGTGATGAGCACCCCGAATCCAATACTCCTAAAGCAAAATTTGAGACAGAATTTGAGATCCCAGAAAGCAATGGAGCCATTTTCCACAGACTTCACTATTAGTTTATTAGCAGTTTGAAGAGAGAACTATGTCATCTGCTCTACCCACTCTTTACACACACACACACACCCAACACACCAGATCCAGCAAACCCTGAGCTTACAATTATTGAAATGGCTGGCCTAGTTATATAGCTCCAGTTGAGTTGGGGGGTGGGTGTCAAGGGAGGAAGTCCCGCAGTAGGGGCAGGGGCTCTCCAAGAATATCAATTCAGTTAGCAATTTCCCAGTCACATGATTTCTGAGAAGCCAGTTCCCTGTGTGGAGGTTGGGGGAAAAGATGCTTGACTGACTTGATCATGCTGTGGCCTTTGTCTCTGTGGAGTTGAGTAGGCCCAAGCCTGATTTGGGTAGGCAGTGGCCTCCTGCTGTGTTCTCTGAGAGCTGGCTGGGGTATGGGCAATGCTCTACTGTCCTTTATCTGGCTTGGGAATCAACAATTACTTAGCTGACAACAGCATACAAAGTGTTAATTCAATTGCTAAGAATGCCAGCATTATTATGTTTTATCCTAATTTTATTATTTCTGCCATTAAACGTTTCAAAGACTATGGAAAATGGTTTTTATTTGTTCAACATTTACTGTCAGCTTCTAAAAGATCTTTGTGTGTACGATGTGTTTCCTTCACAGGAATGCTGTGTACTAAAAAACGCTTCTGCATTTTATACATGGAAACTCTGAGTTATCCATGGCCAATTGGATACTGAGGGGCACACAGGTTAAATCATTTAAAAATAACAAAATAAAATAAATTTAAAATACATAGTTCAGTATTTTTTTACTGTAACTTTCTTTGTTTTTGTTTTAAATTTTGTACTTCTAAGGAAGGGGAAAACAAGCATCCTACACTCAATTATTTATAATGCTGTAACCTCAGAATCATGTTATTAAGTAACAGATATTCTTTTGAGGGCCATTAGTAGTGGTGTTAGTGTCCTCACGATATGCATATGTACTCATGAAGATGCCTATGTGCACTGATGCCGTCCTGATCTACTGTTGATCAGCATCTGTGTTACTTGAACTCACTTTCTTGTTCAATAGCTGCTGCTGCAGCAGAGCAAAATAACCTGTGTGATTGGTAAGTACCAGATTAAGGAAGTCAGAGGTCGAGGTGCATGCAGATCCACTATCTGGGTACAAGTGGCTTTTTGGTTCCTAGCAATTGGGTTCTTGCTAAAGATCAAGATGTCTGAAGGGGCCTGGGCGCCCTCTAGGTTTTCTAAGAACACTGGTTCTTTTTCCTTATAAAAAATATCATCCTTAGGAGGGGAGCTAAGCGGTTTCCCAGGCCCCCACGTCCTGATAACCTCAGGGAATTAAGACAGCTATCTGGTGTTGGATTCACAAAAATATTAAATTAAAATAAAATAAATGTATATATCAGTTACCAAGTATTGACAACAGGCTTTTCTTTCTGTTTTTCCATATTCGATCCAATATGTTCACTTGTATCACACACTGATGAAACAGCTTATTTTTATCTTCTTCTTTGCCCTAGCAATATTGGTGAATAGAATTTTCTATATTTGCACTGTCCACAATGGAAGTCACTAGTCATATGTGGCTCCAAATACTTGCTGGGTGGCTAATGTATCTAAAGAAATACATTAATTTTGGTTAAATTAACTTTAACATCAATATGAAGCTATTGACTACTAAATGGTAACACTAATCCACAGCATCCATTTCTAGAATTTAGCTGGTTATAATATATCATTTTCTACTAATCTGCCCTATATTGTCCATTTCACTTAATAACTATTTATATAATTGCTGATGTGCAAGATTTCACATTGAAAATATATTTTCAATTTGATTTCCTTAGCATCCTAACTTTCCCAATATGGTTTATTCCATCTGAGTGTTTTTCTTTTCTGTGCACACACACATGTACACATATACACTGATGAACATAAGAATAGAATCAAATGCTTTAACTTTTACTGTTATATGAACAATCTAGTATGATTCTGCTTGGGTTGTCACTATGGTTGCTTTTTTTCTTCAATGTTTCAAATAATTTGATATTAGGAATCCCTGTTGTTTCTGTGGGGATTGTCATTATGAGTAATATTGTCTCTATTCTTTTATAATTCTTATTGTGCTTGCTAAGATTTAACTACTATTCCCTCAATCTCTAATGTCCTAACTCTTAGTATCACTGATTGAATTGGGAATTAGATGCTTTATATCAACAGTAAATATTCTTAAAAAGAAATTTTCAGCCAAGCATGGTGGTAAGAGATTGTAATCACAGTTCTTCTGAGATCGAAGCAGGGACATCAGAAGTTCCAAGCCATACTCACCAGCATAGCAAATTTGAGTACAGTCTAGAACATAGAAAACACTGACTCCAAATACCAAAATCAAAAGCAAGGAGACCTCAATAGCTTTTATGTTACAACGTTAACTATAGATTTGACTGGACTTACTGTTTTAATTTCTGTATTATCAATTCAACACTTTAAAATATTGTTAAAATATTCTCAGGTTATTTTGGATGTCTTATCATTTCAGGATCACCAAACAATTTTGAGAGCATGGGCTGTGAAAGATTTTGCTCCAAATTGTCCTTTGTATGTCCAGATATTAAAACCTGAAAATAAGTTCCACATCAAATTTGCAGGTAAGTTTTGGTCATCAATGACAGCCTTTGCGTTCTCCAGACTCTATTTGCAACTTATTGTTTACTTCTGTAAAGTTAGTGGCACTTAATTAGCTCATGGTCTGTCGGGCAGAAAAGATTTTCTTTTAGTCATCCATTTGAAATGCAAGAATGTAATATTTGAGATAAATCTTCACTTTTAACATATAACTTGATGATTTTATCACCTGACTTTACCATATACATTTGTAAGTTTGTTTGGGTTTTCAAAAGGTGCTGTGAATAAGTTCTAAAATGTTCTATCTGACTTTTAGTTTACGCATAGTCAATTCTTTGCTATATATATTACTTAAAGCACAAAATACCTTAACCTACAGTATATTGCAGTGTAATACATTAATATGCAATATTTATTTTAATTTGGGTTATAGACCTTAAAATAATTCAAGAAAAATGTAAATCTTCTGTTTTATGTTTTAGAGACACGATTTTTAAAATAAAAAGTTACACGCACTAAGGAGGTCATGCTTTGCATCATTAGGTAATTGAATAATAATATGCTAATTAGTTATTTTCTTAAATACTTCTGTGGGAGAAAGGCACAACTTTGGATCTGCTCATTGATTTATGTACTTTTCTCCCCAAACATAACAGATGTGTTCTATATTGTGTTTTAATTCACTTCAACAATCAATGTTTAAAAGGTTATTAAAATGTAAGTCCTTTTAGCAACATGCCACAAGTTATTTTTTACACTGTGTCCACGTGTCTTTAAATGCTAAATTGTTGGTTTATCTTACTGAAATAAACTTTATAAATTAATTTTAAATAATAAGAAAATAATGGGGATAGTGATATAGAGTTATTTCAACCTTATCCTGTCTGTATTACAAGTGACATCATTAGCTGATTCTCAGAAAACGTATATAGGACAACCTAAAACACCGACTCTTTTTTCCATCTGTATATTATTGCAATTTGGAAGATTTTTAAGAAATACCCATTGTAGGGGTTCTGATTGAGGTAGTCTGAGGTGGTGGTGCCAGGACTCAATAAGCTGAAACAAAGATGTGAGAGTCATTCTATTGTAAATCCCTTTGTGACTGAAATGGAAAAGTATATATGAAGTACCTCATTAGGTGTTTTTTCAGAATCCTGTTTGAAGTAAACATTCATGTTTTTAGTTACTATTAATAAATTAAAAAGAGCATACTCGGGTAGCATTAATGACATGAGCAGTAAGCAAGGTGTTGAAGTAAAATACTAAATCTGAATGTCAACATTTAAGACTGTAGAAGCTCATTTATGTAAATTAGTACTCTGAGTGATGCTTTCATTTCCTTCTGAAAAGCTGCCTCCATTCCAACAGATATGGTCAGTAGTGAGCATTAAAAAAATCTGGAAAACTTTTAGATGTCTATTGAATAGTATTGGATCTAAATCTTACGGCAACTGCTGCATGTAGTTGAAAAACATGCAGTAGTGTGAAAAACAACCCATCATTTTGAATGTGATATATCTCACACTCAGAGGAGACATCTACTCTTCTCCCCCTTCTTTATCCAGCCATCAATCAGATGCTTCCCATAAATCAATCACATGTGCTGAAATAGTCTATTTACAAGTAAGGTGCTACAGAAACTATTGTGTTGATTTTCTTTCAAATATTTCACTTGACATTATTTTAATAAACCTACCAAGATGAGTATATTATTTAAAAAACTCTCTCCTAAAAGTTCATCTCAATATTTCTTATTTTGACACATGTTAAAATTCTGTCTAATAGTGCTTTAAGTTCTTTTATAGCTGAGATTACAACATTTCAGATGGGAGTCTTTTTGTAGTATTAAAGATGAAAGCATTGTAGTTTCATTAAAATGCCATAAAAATATTAAGGCTGATGTATGAAGCTCTCAAATCAATATAATTCATTTTGTATCTCAGCAAGAGTTTGAGAAGTAACAGGCTTCTTAATAAAAGGCAATAGATGAAGCTGTCAGCTTGTGTAGTAAATTGTTAAAATGGTCCCCGAGGAGCCAAACTCCATCATGTGTGTCTCACTGCTCTGTGGGCTTTCGGCCTCTGAGCTGCATGTGAAGATGCTCTGTTTAGCTTATTATGAGAAAGGGAAGCAAGAGGAAAAATAAGACTCACCCATCCTGGTATCTGTCTGTGTATTTCCCTCTTACACACCAGCCCAACTCAGGGCATGTTAATACGCAGAACTGTGATGAAGAAGGCATTGTTTGAGTTATTCAGGGGTGAGATCATTATGAAGCTATAGAGAGCTAATAGCAATTGTGATCAAATAATAATTGCTAAAAATGGTACTTCCTTGATGGCTTCCATTGTTGTCATGTATAAGTTGCTTAAGTAGTACTTTAGTCTTCCCAGATATCTAAAGGATACATTTTATTTTTGGTGTTCGCAATGTCTTCTTCAACTAATCCTGAGTTATAATAATCTTTCAATGATTATAGTTTATGCATTTTAAAATTAAACCATATTAAAAAAAGGGACATGTAGTGAAACATTTGAAAATTCTGTTAATAACTGTATAATAAAATACATAACATAATAAAAACACTGCAGCAAGTTTTCTCTTATTTATGGAGATTTATGTATTTTTATTCCAAATGAATAACAGTAAGCATTCAAGAGATGGACAATTTATTTCATTAGTGTTTGAGCATAATGACTTATAATTAAAATAATACCTTATATTTTAATTATTATAGAAAAGATATGTTATTATTTTAGAACACCAGAAAACCAAGATAAAAACACTATACCCCAAAAGAGGTAGAAAGAGTAGAATGCTCAGTAGAATAATAGTTTGATATTTCAGAATATAAATTACAATAAGATTCAACTAACAGAAAGCATAATTCACAGGCAATATACTTCTTTTTTATACAGATAATTTTCCAAAAAGGCCAGTGGTCACTCATTCAGAAACAAGCTTCTCTGTCAGTAGCTTGTCCTCAATGCAACAGAATGTGTAAATGTTGCTTGGGCACCCTGCAACGGAATGCGTAAACATGAGTGAGGTCCTGCACTGAAACATGTCTTCACTGTTTCAGTTGTTCAACCTCAGATTTCTACTCATGTAAACTTGTTTTTAATTAATAAAGATGATAAGAAAAAATCCTTCAAAATTGAGTTGTTCTGATATAAAGCCTACTTACGAGAAAATCAGCCACCAATAAAAGAAATATATCAGAATTGCTGCTGTCAGTAATATCTTAGTACTTGCTTCTCATCTTAACTAATTTTTATTACATTTAATTATAGAAAGAAAACCATTGAGGGATATCCTAGAGGTTTTAAAAAGAGTTTATTAAAAAATTCAAAAAGTATATCATTTGAGAATATGCATTGAGAGACCAGAAAAATAAAGTTCAATCTCAATCCATTTCTTAAAATTAATATAACCTCGAACAAGACACATTGAAAATTGTATTGGAAATGACATTCGGAGAATGATTTTATTTGTACATGTTTTAAAAATTGCATGCAATGCATTAATTAAAGAAAACTATATTTAATAGGAACATATGATCACCAAGTTGAAATCGTTTCAGGAACATATTTGCAGATAAAAATAGACGGAATACATCATATGAATGTACACACTCGTATCTTAGAGAATGTGCCACCAACTTACACATTTAAAGCCAGAAAAGCTCTAGGGACAGTAGGAAAAACCCTCAGCCTAAGTAAGTTATCTTCAAAATAGGGTAGAGGAAAAATATATTTCATGATCACATTGTAAGTACAACTTGAAAATTAGGAAAAAAAAAAAAAAAAAACAGAGCTGTCCACTAAGAAACCTTTTATCTCTTGAATCACTATTTATTGCTGTTGATCTGGAAAAATACAGGGGTCAGATAGGAGAAGTCGTGGATTAAAATGTCAGTGTCTAGAAAGCACATATCATCTATAAGGAAAATTGAAAAATTATTTTCTTTTCTATCTGTAGATCTTTTCCTTAGGGTTATCTCATCAAAGTGTAAGATTTTCATAATTGAATCTCTCCTTCGGTATCCTTTGTGGGTGTGACTGTTGCATCTCAAACTGCATAGTCATTATTTGTAGCACGAATCTTAAAAGTTCTTATCAATAAAAACAAACCCAGAGTTAGGTATTGGGGTGAAGGTTGGAAAATCAGAGAAGCAGAACAAGCCACAGCTTCCTCACCTCAGCTGATCCTGTTTCCTCAGACTGGAAGCCTCATAGATCTCATCTGAAATGCTGCTCAAAAGCCTAAAAGCTTAACTAGCTCTAGTTCCTGGTTTTTATATACCTTTCTGCTTTTTGTCATCAGTTCCTGGGATTAAACTGGGATTAAAGGCATGAGTCACCATGCCTAGCTGTTTCCAGTGTGGCCTTGAACTCAGAGATCTAGGTGAATCACTACCTCTGGAATGCTATGATTAAAGGGCATGTGTGTCACTATTTTCTGGCCTCTATATCTAGTGGCTGTTGTGTTCTCTGACCTCAGATAAGTTTATTAGTGTGCACAATATTTTGAGGAACACAATACCACCACACTTATTACCGACTAAATTGCTAACAGACATTTCAAAATGTCAGTTTTTTAAAAGCCATTATGATGTCCTTATTTAAAACCCATTTATCAGCCATCCTTCCCAGCTGCATCTACATAGAGAATACACGAAAGAATACGCTATTCTTTCTTTCGTCTATTACATCTCACTGATCCTTGGATAGGCTGCATGCTTATCTGAAGCTTTTCATTGACACCATCATTATGGTTCACTTGGCTATTTCAAAACATTTACCTTTCACTGTTCCCTGGATGTTCTCCTGCCCTCCATCTTCCCAGCAGGTACCCAACAGCAGTAGTCATTGTGTTCATGTTTTCACGCCTCCAATGCCAGGTGGCACTTAGCACTTTCTTTGCTCAAGTGAAGAAATGCTAACTTTCTTTACAGTCAATTTTTGAACATGTTATGTTTTTTTTTTAAATTTTGGGTTATTTTTGTCAGCTTTGGTAAATTAAAAGTCATATGGTAATTTAGCTTTGGTTATGTCAAATCTACTTTCATTGAGAAAGATTTTCAGTAATGGAATTTTGTGCTGTGACAATTGGCACTAGGGCCTATGACACAGATGATTACAGCATTTCATAACTAAGAGTGATGAAGAATGTGGTTATGTGACATCTTAAATTGTCTACTTACCTCATGTGTACCCAATAATTTTAGTGAAGCCTCTCCTGGGCCAATATTTGATCTAAAATCACCCACAGAAAATTTATGCTTTCATATTGTTGAGTGCCTCATAAATTGCTGCTTCTCGGTTGAAAAACTTGTGTTGGGAAATGCAACAAATATGATGATAATTCAGTTCAGATGTAGACATATTACTATATCTCACCATTTAATCATACTGAAATGAATCTCATAATTGCCTTTCCTGCTTGCAATCCAAGCTGATTTAAAAGCCTGGAAACATTTGCACAGACCAGCATACATAGACAGACAGACAGACAGACAGACAGACAGACACACACACACACACACACACACACACACACTGCACATACCAGAAGAGGAATTGAAAAGAGAGAGTGTAAGAAGAATTGCTAAAGGGTCTTAATAAAAACCCTGAGCCAGATATTGGGGTTAAAACCAAGAGATCAGAGGAATAGGACAAGCCACAGCCAACCTCACCTTACCAGCCTTCAGCCTCCCCAGAGAGCTACTTCCTGTATACCCACGCCTATATGCCTTTCTGTTCATCTCATTTCCTCTCTCTGCCCAGGTACATCACTTCCTGTCTGTCTGTAGAGACCTCCAGACCTTTCTGGTTAGTGCTGGGATTATAGGCATGTGTTACCATGCCTGGCTCTGTTCCCTAGTCTGGCCTTGAACTCACAGAGATCTGGATAGATCTCTGCCTCCTGAATGCTAGGATTAAAGGTGTGTGCTACAATTCCCTAACTTCTATGTTTAATATTGTGCCTGGCTTTTTCCTCTGATCCTCAGATAAGCTTTATTAAGGTGCACAATATTTGGGGGGGGCACACAATTATTGCCACAAGATAGAGAGACAGAGAGAGAGAGAGAGAGAGAGAGAGAGAGAGAGAGAGAGAGAGATGCCTATAGTCTCTGTCAGAATGAAGAAAACCTTGAATGATTTATAATTAATTTTACAGACACACTGCATTCTCCTACTCATCAACTTTATCTACAAGTTCTTTGTCTCTTAGGCTGATGAAGTTACCTGCCATTTAATTGCAAGGTGGATGAATATTCTAGGATAATGTCATAGGGATGATATGACAGGTAAACTTAGGTTAGCCATTCCCGGTAAAATGTTAGATGATCTGCCCTCACTCATATCTCTTTTCTTTCTCATCTAATTTCAAGTCAGAGTAAGGATTGCAAAACTCAATTAGTTAATGAAATTATAAATTCTCTATAAATTTTATTTTCCATGTACTAAGATATTTTGCATGTAACATAACCTGACTGTAGTTAATGAATGAAAATCACACCCATATTTCTAAGTGTTTACTGAATGAAATACTTTCTACTTCACAATTATAACAAATCTGAAGTATGAATCATTCACTAGAGTTGTAGGAGTTAGCTCTCCAGTAATTATAAAGCATAATTACAATAAAAAGTTAGATGTGAACAAATGTGAATATACATTTAAGAGTATCTTTGACAGTATTGTAAACCATGAATTTTTATTAGATAGTGTGACTGCAGTTGCAAAGATGTTTTGTAAATAATGAGCGCATACAACTCTTACATCACAGAGAAATAGTTTGATTAAAAAAACATGAAGATTGTGTCTCATCTTAGACACCATGTGGATTTTCTTTTTTCTTTTTTTTGTGAACCATTAGACATTTCAGTGCCTCTTTTTGCCTACCCAGAAAAGAGAGTGTGGAATATTTCCAAGCAATATAAATATTGGAAATTATCTTAGCTGTTTCTAAATAGCATATGGTTGTGCAGGCTTGACTTTCTCCAAATGGTAAAGTGTGATATTTTCAAGCAGAGTGATTTCTTCATTTTCCATGTCACACCCACATAGACATCATCTCAAACTTTGCTTCTGCAACCTGCTTAAGAACACAACGCCTCAAATTTCTGTACTTTCAAAATATAGAACGTCAGAACTTCAAAATTCTTGATGCTTTTAGATGGAACACAGACTATTCACCATAAGGCCATGTTCAGTTCTATCTAGAGAATCTTTGATGTTTTGGAAAACTCAACTTACACTTTAAAGGTTATTAAATGATGAAAGTTTTTGTTCAGTCAATCTATATTTGGTGATTGTTAGCATTTTGTTTTATTTATTTAATCTTTATAAACACACAAACGCAGACACACATACTACACACAAACTCACAAACAGACACACATACACACATGTTCAGATATATAGCTGTGTAGATATATAGATATACAGATACACGTATCTACACACATTCCTACAAAGACACATGTGCAGATACATACAGGCACACATAGATAAACACACATAAGCACACATACACATATACATATACATACACACATGAACACAATAGATTCGTGCTTCAGCCAGATTCTCCAGAGAAGGTTGTTCTGCCTCATAGAGATACACTAGCAATTTTAACCCCGGGACATGTTAATAATTATATTAGTAATGTAGCTCATATTCAGATTGTTTTAGTATTCACAATATACTCTTAATTCTACATTTTAAAATTCAGTATTTTCTGAACTTTTCATTAACTTGTTATTAAATATTTCAAATTAAAATGCTTTTAACTTTAGATATGCTAGCTATCACATAAAATTTATATACACCCTCAGTGTTCCCCATATTCCTATAATTTCAAATCTTATATTACCATGCCACATTTTGTCTAAAAAATAAATTATGATTGCATACATTATTTTAAGTAAAATATGTTCCTCGATATAATTTTTGGTAGTTTTTTAAATAACATCTTCTTTTCATTTTAGTGGCTTTTGCAAATTTGACATGTGATTTTATAAAGTAGCTAACTCTCTAATTTATTCTCTTTAATGCCTGAGTAAATTTGTCTTGCACAATATGTGTATCAGGTAGTGTCCCTGTAGGTCACTTATAATTTAATTTACTTATAACACTTTTATGAATTTTTTCTGATCATTTTCAAGTGTTTGCATAATTCTCACTCAAACTCATGTTTTTGCATAGAGTAACATATTCTGTCATGTTTGGAAAATTGCAGGTATTTTTGGTCCAGGGATGAACTGCAGTCTTTAGTATTTAACTCCATTCTTTTAGATGCATGATTTGTGAAGGACTGCTATTTGTTCTTTATTTCTTGTTTATTTGTTCACAATGCTTCTTTGAATCCTTTTAAGAGCAATCTGTTGTCTGCACTGGTGTGTTGCATAAGTGTACACGGTGTGCTCTGTATCCAGAAGAATCTTTGTTCTTTTTGCATGTATCATACTCTTAAACTAATGCGTGTGACAAGATGCCAGAAAACTGTTTCAGCTAACTGTGTATTTCTACCTAGGGCTTTACTCTATAATATCTCCATCCCATGCCTTTGGTATCACCTAGCTCCAGCTATATGTTTTAATTTCTCTGGCTATTTCTTGATGATTTCTTCAAATTAAATTTTTAACCCCAGGAAAATTCTTTATAATTCAGGGTAAGCAAACAGGAAGTGACAGATATTATGAGATTTTTTTTAACTTACTACAGATTTTCTTTACAGTCTTGTCACTCTGCATAGTCACTTCCAGATGTGCATTATGAATTATCATTTACTAGGGAATTGGAATTTTCTGGAAGCAATGAGAGGTTAACAACAATCAGAGGAAAACACATACAATGTCAGCTAGATAAAAAAGTCACTGCGGGAAATGTGGAGTGCAGTGGTGAGGATAAAAGGAACCTCCTAGGAGTGATTATTTAGGAAGCTATTATGGTTGTTCAGGTGAAAGATGCTGAGAAATTGCATTGAGGTTGTGATAATAGAAAAAGAGAGTGAGGACAGGTTCATAAACCATTTCGTTTATTTCTTCATCGATTGTGAGAACCAAAGAGAGTGAGGAAGCATTGTTTTTTTCCCTTGCAACTCTCATTTTTTTATATCTTCACAATTGGTAAGATTTCTAACAGATCTATTTGCTAGTAGATTAATAGCTGCTTTGATGTCTCTCCATTAGGTTTTGAATCTCTCATATGTTTCGTCTCTCCACACATGACACAATACCTGACT